TAGCAGGGCACAGCTTCCTCAGCTCAGAGCGCCGGCACCTCCCTCCACACCCACACTGCCCCCGCTGCGCCTCCGTAACCTTGGCAGGGACCCGGGGGCTTCCTCAGAGCTGCCGTCCTGCCGTGCCCCGACCCAGCGCCCCTGTCCACACTGCCTCGGGTCCCCGTGAGGCCCACAGGTGCAGGACACGGCACTGCTTCCCACACGAGCGAACTGCGCCCCACCCCGCACCTTGCCCGCCTCTCCTGTGCCCCGTCCTGCGCTCTGCCAGCTGGAGGAGCAGCAGTGACCGGAGCTGCTATCCCGGCTCCTGCAGGCTTCTGTCTGGGCCCCTTGTCACCACACAGGGCCCAGAAGCCAAGGAGGCCCCTCGGGTGGCCGGGGAGCAGGGCGCTGGGGACAGAGGCGCTTAGGAGGTGGAGGCCATGCAGTCACTACGGGTCCCCTGCCCTCTGCCAGGCCTGGGGCTGGGTCCCCAAACCACTGTGGTCCCCCGAGACCTCCCAGCAGCCCTGTTCGTGTCCCCACCAGGCAGGTGAGGCGGCTGAGGCTCAGAACAGAGGTGCAAGCCGCCCCACGTCACACAGCCAGGAAGGGCAGCTGGCAAGGGGGAGCGACCCCAAGCCCCTGCCCCCCGCCCACCCGGGGTCTCACCTCGGGCCGGGCACAGGAGGCTGGCGTTCTCCCCGGACACTCGCTCCACCAGGCTGCTGTTGTCGGACACCCAGTGTGGAGGTTCTGGCAAGGGTACACGGCCACCCTCACTCTCGGCCCGAGTGCAGGGACGCAGGCCTGAGCAGCCTCCCAAGAGGCGTGGAGGGTGGGGACGCTGGTTCAGACCCTCAGGGGCCCACAGGACAGGCCACCACCCAGTGGGCCATGCGCGCCCCGCCCTCCTGTGGCCCGGTAGTGACGGTGCTGGTGCCATGGACCCTGAACTTCCTGTGTGCCAGTCCTTCACACCCATTCTCTCGGAGACCCACTTTGCAGGAGAGGACATTGGCCATGTTATCTAGCGGGCACGTGGGACAGGGGGCCTAGTGCTGCCCCACAGTGCCTGAGACACCTCTGTGCCCAAGGCACTCAGGGCCACTGCCATGGCGGGGGGACAGGGAGAGTGGGGCCTGGTTGCGGCTCAAGGACCTGCTGCTCAGTCCCAGGACTACGGAGATTCCAAGACACAGGACAGCAGCCCGGGGAGGGTGGCCAGGCTGTAACACTCACCCAGCGCCCTGAGCTCCAGCTCCCAGGCGTCCATCCCAGCGCTGCTGGTGGCCTCGCAGCGGTACAGTCCGGAGTCAGAGACCTGCACGGCCTCGAAGTGGACCGAGCCCTCGGGCCCCCCTCCGGGCAGGGTCGCCCCATCCTTGGACCAGCTCAGCCACGGCTCCGGCCTGCCCTTGGCCACACAGTTCAGATCCAGGGCTTCTCCCACCAGGGCCTTCAGGAGCCGAGGGCCCGGCTGCACCTGAGGGGGCACTGGCGGGGCACCGGGAGTGCTGTCAGGTGGGAGAGCCAGGTGGGGGGTCCTGGAGCCCAGACCCCACCTCAGCTGTCGAGGACCAATGAGGCCAAGATGCAGGATGCCCTAAGGCGGGTGATTCCGGCATCAAGAAGACACTGAGACCCCCAGTGGACACCTCTGTCCGCTACAAGGTAGACTCCGGCTTCTGCCTGGACACCGGTGCACCCAACACCCTTTGAGAAGCACTGTCCAGGCTGCATCCAGCTCAGGGTACATTTGGGGAAAATGAGGCCTGAGGTGCCAGGACTCAGAGTGGCCCATCAAGACAGGAGGCAGCACACACGGAGGGGCACAGCCCGGGGCCTCAGCCACCCCCTCACGAGGCCACCCCAGGACAGAAGAGGGCACAGAGCGGCAGCCCAGGTGGTGCCTGACCAGCCTGGCCAGAAGCATGGGGGGCGGCCCCATCTGTCAGGTTTCTCGTGTGTCTGCTTTCAAACCCTGACTCCTCTTCCATCTCGTGGGTGCCTCAGGGCTGGGTGAGGCCATCTCATTTTGCAGGTGAGGGAACTGAGCCCAGGAGGGTTCCAGGACCCGGCCACGGTCACCCCACACACACGCCAGCCTGGGGGTCTGACCAGGAGTCCACGGCTCCCTGGGGACCCAGGCAGGCAGGCCCGGGAGGGCTCTGAGCCCACCCAGGGCCCTGGGACAAGCGTCCTGGGCCTGCGGGGAAGCTGAGGACACGGTACTGTTCCAGTTTCAGAGACAGGAGGCCACGCACAGGCCCAGCTGGCTCAGGAGGGTGAGCGGCCCTGGGTTCCACACTTTCCCGTGGCTGCAAGAGGGCATTTGTCTTCTCTGTTCTAGATTTCCCCACTCATTTAAAACTAGAAACCACTCGCGGGCCCTGTGAAATCCACAGGCTGGCCAGGCCATAGTTTGTCCTGTCTCTGTGTCCTCGCTGGGCCCGGGCGTGAGGACCTCCCTGCCTGCGTGGCTTCCGCTGAATGGGGTAGCTGGATGGCCCCTCCTGGGGCCCAGGACCACAGCAGGATGTTTTGGAGCCAGGCCGAGCGCGTGGGACACGCAGGGAGGCGCTGCCCAAATAGCAGCCTCTGGAGTTACAGGTGTGGAAAGTGCCTCGGCACCGGAAGGGCCTCCCTGCGGGCCTCAGATGCTCCCAGCGGGAAAAGGGCCCCGAGAGGCAGCTTGCCAGCCTGAGCATGCCAGACGCCTCCCAGCTGTGTCGCTCAGGCTGGGAAGACACCCTCAGTCACGGTCATGGCCCCTGGGGCCCCAGCATCGGTCCCCCGGCCCTGCTCTCCGAATCACCTTCCCAGCATCAGACTGAGGTGGAAAAGGGTAGAATGGAGGACAGAGGTGTGGGAAGCAGGAAGTAGGGGACAGGCCCTGCGAGGGACAGAGGACAGGCAGGGGCCAGGCACAGGGACAGAGGGTGGCGGCACCCGTGCTCCTACCTTGCACCCCGAGGACATAGCGCCGGGAGGCTGACCCCGCGGGATTGCTGGCTGTGCACGTATAGTGGCCGTCATCCTCCTCCTGGGCTGGCGCCAGGCGCAGGGACCCGGATGGAAGGAGGACGCGGCTGCAGGGACAGGGCCAGCTGTGAGACCCTGACCGGCCCACCCCAGGGACAGGCTTCACCACCCACCTCCTCTTCCAGCAAGCCCCCACCTGCCACCCCTTCACCCCAGCCCCAGCTCCGAGTCCCCGAGGCCAAGCAGGCCAGTTCCTCCCAGCGCGGGAGACAGTCAGCTGTGGGCCTGGGTCCAGGTCCTCACCCTGCGCCCTGTCCTGGTGCATAACACGGTGGTGTCCAGTCCCCTCGCTGTGCAGCGGGCACCACCAGTGCCTTCAGCTGCACCGGGCTCGGCCCTAAGGCCCTTGGCACCCTGGTGCCAGGCCGGCCTGAGTCCAAACCCAGGGACTCCTGGGGCCCCCGTCTGCAGGAGGAGGATGTGCAGAACCACTCCCCCCCGGGGCCTGGACCCCCAGCCAGGCTCCTGCAGCTGGGCCGGACCCCAGGGGCGCTCACAGACATGATGTCAGCGGCCCACATGTGCTGGCTCTGAGTAGCCCTACCACGCAGAATGGGGGGCACAGCTGCAGCCATGACCCCGGCTGGCCCCAAAAGTAAGCAGCCGGCAAGGAAGTGGGGACCCCAGGGCCAGTCCTCAGCTGGAGCTCACCACGACTTCCAGCTGGACACCATTCCTGGTCCCCACCCTGTTCTGCTAGGCCCATGCTTCCCCCTGTAAGGTGGCATCCGAGCCCTCAGAGGGGCCCTGCCAGGCAGACGAGGGGGTCACCAGAGGCCTGGGGAGTGGCACACAAGGCTCACCCACGCAGCCTTTGGCTCCCTTCGTGCAAAGCGGAGGGACCAAGCCCCACTGCGGCTTATCGCTGCATCCAGACGGCCCTGTGGTTGGGTGACAGCCGGGAAGATGCTCCCCAAATGGGGTCCTGCTGCTCTGCCAGCTGCCGACCGTGTGAGGCTGCGAAGTCGCTTGGCTTTCCTGTGCCTCGGTGGTCTCATTTTAGTTACAGAGCCAACAACGATGCTTTCCCCTCACGGGACCCTCAAGAGATCCGAGGAACTAATGTATAGCACAGAGCCACGCTGATGACCATGAGGCCACAAACCCCACACAACTCACTTTGCACGTTACACACTTATGTGAGTAGTATCACGCCTCTGTGTGCGGACCTCATTCATTTTCGCTGCCATATAATATTCCCTCCCTGGATCACACCTCTGTTTATTAATTTTCTGTCTCTCAAGCAGACGTTTAAACGTACAGATACAATGGCTGGGGCCACCCCGACTCGGCTTTCCTCACCTACAGCTTTCCTGTAAGGTGAATCATGCTGACCTATCTACCCTCACCAAGCGGGGCCCTATCAGCTGGAGACTAAAACGCACTCAGTGAGGGGGGTCGGTGGGAAGAGGTCCGGGCTGTGCCACAGATGTGCTGGGCAGCCTCAGTCAGCCCAGCCAACGTCTCTGAACGTTTTCGTAGTGGGAAGAGCAGCTCCTCCTGGCACCTGCGTCCTCCAAGCCCCATCTGCGCCGTGTGCTTTCTAATCTCCAGAACGGGGCCCAGGCTGTGGAAGGGGAGGCCCCCACCTCAAGCTCTGAAGTCACAGGGAGAAGATGAAGTGGTGGTTTGGGGGCTCAGCGCTGTCTGGACGGGACCCGGGGCTCTGGGCAGCCCACACCTGCATGGTTGGCACAGGTCTGGGGGTGAAGCCCAGCAGAGACATGGCGGGGGGGGAGGCAGGGAGCGGGGAAGACACCATCCATCCGTGGGAGCCAGGGGTGCCGAGGTCCCACACAGAACAGCAGGTGCTCAGAGTTTTTTTGATGGCCAAGTATAGCAGCCCCCTCCATGACTCAGTGCCCCATCAGAGCAGCCCAGGCTCCAGCTCTTCCAGGAAGCTTTCCCTGAGGTCCCAGGCAGGTGACTTCACTTGCCCTGAGCTGCACTGAGTCTGGTCCAGCCAGGTGCTCCTTCTTTCGTGCACTATGTATTCATCCATCCCTTCAACAGAAAATGGCTGTCCCTGTGCCCCCTCAGGGCTGCCGACTCACGGGAGCGGGCAGCCATCTGGCAGCAGGGCCGGTGGCTTTCGATCAAGTGGCACTTCTGGCGGACACCGTCACCCGCGAGGGTGTCCCTGTGTGCGCCTGCTGTGTGTGCCAGGTCTGCGCCCAGGACAGAAACCCTGCTCTACGAATGGCCACTCTGACCCCTCCCGGAGGCCTCACCAACACCGCAGACCCTCACAGGAAGCCACCAATGGAAAGCCGCGCCGGGGAAACTGAGGAAGCGTGCCCACCACCCCTCCACTCAGGGCCAGCGCCGCATCTGAGAGACACAGAGCACGCGCCAGCCCTAGCCTGGGCACCATCAGCCCAGCGCAGCACAGGCTGAGCTCCTCTGCAGCGGGGGGCGGGGGCTGAGTCAGACGCACAGCACTGCTGGCCCTGGCCTCAGCTTCAGCGGCCTTTGTCTCCACCGAGGGGGACAACGGCCCGTCAAGGGCTGGGCAGAAGCACCCCAGGAAGCAGGCCGGACAGGCGGGGGGAGCAGGAAGACCCCAGCAACGTCGAGACCGAGGCAGCCCCATCGCCTGGCTGCCTCTTCCCTTTCGGGACTTGGGCTCTGACCCTGCGTGGGACCCTGGCCAGCTGCCTCCGGAGCAGCAGCCCCAGCCAGGAACGCACACAGCTGTCCCAGCTCCGCACCAGGATCCCAAACAAACACAGTTGCCTAGGAACAGCATCCGGACCCAAGCCACGATGCTCCCAGCCGCCACCGCCTAACAGCCTTGGTTCTGAGTCTCTCAGATGGGAAGACCGAGCCTGGGGGGCGGGCAGACCTCACTGCCGCTCAGAGCAGGTCGGGTGGTGCCGAGGGGTCCCAGGCCTTTCTGTCTCCGATTCCCTCCCTGCGCGGTCTTGGGCATGCGGCACTGTGCAGTGGGCAGTGAATTTACAAGGTGGATACTCTCAAAACAGTGGTCCCACAAGATGAGAGGCTTGGCCGTCTGCTTCCGGGATGATCCCCAAGGAAAAGACCAAAGATAAAGATGTCCCCACTTAGAGCTGCTGAAAACTGGCAGAGGCGCGAGCCCCAAACACAGCAGCCGCCTAGCAACGAAGCAGCAAGCTGGGTCGTGAATGCTGCTCCGCCCTGAGACCAGGAGGGCAGGCCGAGGAAAGGGGCGGACGCACCATGCTTCATCCACAGCAGCGCCTGGTGGGCGTGGGCCCTCGGAAGGGACAGGGACACACGTGTCTGGGTGCCTCAGGCCTGCGTGTGCCCACGTGGGCTCCGGGTGCCCGTCGGCCCTGCCCCGGGACTGGGACATCCGGTTCTAGGCTCCATGGCCATTTCCATTTCCTCCCCCAGGCGGGGGGTGGGCATCCCCCACCTCCAGGGCTATGGCAGAAGGACCGGGCCACTGCCGGCCAAAGGCCTTGGGGGCTCAGCACATCCTGGCTCTCCATGCTGTCTATACCCAGAGTTACTGAGAAGCCTCCACAGTGCCCAGGTCGGGGTCAGCACAGGCTGGGGAAGAAGCCCATGGATAGAGTGGGGCCTCCTTGGGGCTGAGCTGGCGAAGGTAGAAGGGGCACATGGCACAGCCAGGGGTACCTGTGGTACAGCTGGACAGGTACGGCTCCTGGAAGAGAGTCCTCAGGCTTCCAGAATGGTGGTGTGGAGCCATGGAGGGGGAGGGGGAGGGGATTCACTCATGCAAGTAGCAAACATTTACTCACCTGCTGAGCAGTGATGAAAGACGCAGAGGCTGGTTCCTTGGAGTTGCCTTTTAGTTAGGGGTCGCACACAAACAGAGCATAAGTGAATAATGGGTCCGTTGGGAGGGGGAGGGGGGGGCAGAGGAGGCAGCTGCGGGTCGGTCCCCCCCCACGGCCTGGCATTGTCTGCCTCAAGGATTTGAAATGTCCGTTTTATGACGGAATCACCGTGGGGCTGAAGGTAGCCGTCTCACAAGCTGCTTTGAGCCTCAGGGACAGAAGGCCCTGAGAACACACAGGCGGCCATGGGAGTGAAAAGCAACCCAAGTGAGGCTGTTCACAATCAGCTGTGGTAGATGCAACCCCCGGGGCCACACACCGCTGAACGGAGTGACAGAGGGTGGCGGAAGGGTGTTCAGCCCGCAGAGGAACGACAGCAGGACCCTGGCTGCAGCGGGCTGAACCCTGAGGACGCTGTGCAAGGTGAAGGAAGCCAGAGGCAACAGACCACACAGGACTCCTTTTCTGTGCGGTGTCCAGGGTCCGGGAGCCAAGGAGACAGAAAGCAGATTAGTGGCTGGCTGCCTGGGGCGGGGCGGGGCGGGGAGCAAAGGGTACGAGTCTTTGGGGAAGTGATAAAAATGTTTTCAAATTGACTGTGACAACAGTTGCACAACAGAATGCACTGAGATATACTGAAGTGTATGCCTGACATGAGTGAGTTATATGCGGGTTTGATCTCAATAAAGCTGTTCTATAAACAAGGGTGTGACAGCTGGGGCGCCACTCAGTGGGTTCCATCCCCAGCACCACAAAACAGAAAACGTCCCCAAAAGTGGGTAAGACCGAGTCAGATAACAGACACAGTAAGACGGCAGAAGGACTGAGTACTTCAGCACTCGGGACATGCAGTGCTAAACTAAACCTGCAAACCCATCGTCCCAATAACCCCGTTTCACGGGCAGCAGAACCAGCCGAGAGCAGCCAGCCAGCGGCCACCGGGTCCGAGGCCAGGAGGGGAGCGGGCAGAGGATCCCAGGTCTCGTGAGCTCCTTCTAACCCTGGGGAGAAGCCCAGTGAGCAGAAGGAACCGGGTGAGACTTTGGGATTGCAAAAGCGGCTCTTGCCAATTCCCAGCTCCCTGCTGATCTATTAACGCAGGGCACAGAGGAGCACGCAGATGGCCCTGTGGGTTTTGGTGAGGAGCCGTAAATAAACAAGCACCTGCTGGACAGATGCAGGCTCCCAGCTCCCTCCGTCCATCCCGACCCACAGCCAGGGGCTCGCCGTGCCACATTTAGGGGTGAACGGCTGCAAGTTTGAAAGCTCGCCAAGAGTCGTTCTGGGTGCAGACACGTGTGGGCCAGAGTGGCGCGGGGCAGGCAGGGGACCTCGCCGGGGCGGACGGCACTGCCTGAGCTGCACCCCCACCCCCCACCGTGTCAAGGGATCCATAGCCGGCACCTGTACCCCGACAGCCCAGACTGAGGGTGTAGTGCGGCTCCCCGATGTCGAGCGAGAGGCAGGAAGCCGGGCATCAGACGCAGCCCCAACCCCAGCTTTGCCGGTGCTCTGCTGAGTGCCACTGAGCCGCAGGCCCTGCCCGGGTGACCCCTGGTGTCCCCACACAGCCAGGGACAGGGCAGCTGGGGACCAAAGGACGCTTTGGTTTGGGGTTTTTCAGAGCATCTCACCTGGGCTTCCACACCCCCCGGGGTCCCCACAGAGGCTGGGCCCCAAGGTGAAAGCCTGTGGTGGAGCCAGTCAGCCTCCTGGGCTGGGCCCTGCTCCTCACCCCCGGTGGTCACCAGCCAGGCCCAAGTCCCGCAAACCTGTGCCTAGCAAGGCCCTGGGGTTGGGTACCTGTCGGTGTCAGACAGCAGAGGGTGGGTGTCCTTCGTCCAGGTGACCAGGGGCGGCGGGGAGCCCTGGGCCTCACAGCCCAGAGTCACCTCTTCACCAGCCTTGGCTGTGACTCTCAGCGGTGAGTCTGTGTCCTGGGACCCATTCACCCGGATCCGGGGCTTGGCTATTGGGAAAACAAGCAGGGCTGTGAGCAGGGAGGGCACAGCGGGACAGGCCCCAGACGGACATGCAGCCCTTGCCACCCCGGAGTGGGTGGGCGCTGCTCCAGAAGAGCGCGTGGTGTGGACCGGCTCAGACCTCAGGGCTCCGCTCAGCCCCACCCCGTCTCTCCTCTGCGGTCCTCTTTCCTCTCCTTTTCCCCGTGGCATATCCGTTTATTCCCAGGACAGCAGCCCCCACAAGATGCACAAACAGCCCTGGTCGCTTGCGCCTGTGTCGCGGTGTGAGACAACCTGCCGTCACCTTGACAACCGAGAAGGCTGAGACCTCTGAAGGCAGCGGTTCAGGGCCCCCCTCCTGCACCCTCTACACAGGGACACCACGCACGAGCTCCTGTCTGAGGAATCTCACCATGAAAAAGGCTTTTTGCGATACAAAATACTAGCCCTAAAAGCATACTACAGGAGAGGACTGGCTTGTGCATCTGTCCGCTTGTCATCTCAGATCTGGTCCTGGAAGCCCCAGGCCCCACGACCAAACATGCCAACACACTGGGATGGGCGCCACAGAGGGGGCATTCCAGCGGCCACTGCATGGCCACTTGACCCAGCCTGGGGCTGGCGCAGATGGAAGAGCAGCCCATGAGGCAGAGGAAGGGCCGTGGAGCACTGCACGTGCAAAGGCCCTGAGGCCGGACAGGTCTTTCACGAAATGGGAAGGAGGCTGGGGGACTGGGGCAGGGTGAGGTGGGGAGTGAGGCAGGTGTGGGTGCTGGATACGGCGCCACTCCCCTGGGGCTCCCCCACCATGGCCACGCCCTTGTCACTCACTGTTGACTGAGAGCCACGTCTCCTGGCTGGAGAAGCCAGCAGCATTGGTGGCTGTACACACATAGGCCCCTGCATCCTGGGGCGACGGCCAGGCAATGAGCAGGGTACCGTCCTGGCTCACACTGTAGTGGGGACCCCTGGAGCTCAGGGCTTTGGTCTCCTAGGATAGAACCCGGGCGACATCAGCCAGGAGTCATCCACGCCCTCCTCCCTGTCCCAGATTGACCCAGTTCACCCTGGAGGCTAGAGGCTCCACCCACCTTGGTCCAGCTGATGGTCGGGGTGGGAACTCCTGCGGCGACACAGGACAGAGAGGCTGGAACCCCTTCACTGGTGACATGGTGGGTGGCAGTGGGATAGATTCTAGGTGGCACTTTTGTAAACAAACCAATTTCATAAGCTAGAGCACCTGGCAGTATGAACCCCACAGCCAAGAAGCAGAGACAGCAGCCCACATGTCTATCAGCGACACATAAGTGAAATGGGGGTGCGTGGAATGGAATAGTATTCATCCCTGAAAAGGAGTGTAACTGACTATAACTCAATGACAGCCTGGAAAAAACGAAGCTGTGCAGGTAGAACAAAGATCAGAGGGTGCTGGGGCTTGGAGGAGGGAGGGAAGAGGAAAGTGGGGCCCAGAGGGGTTTCAGGGCCCGAAGCTACTTGGTCTGATGCTGTAACAGTGGGTGCATGGTATCACATGACTGCACAACATCTCGGGGACCCTCGTGTGATGCTGGGACTTTCAGGGAGATGTGGCCGTGAGGACTGGTCTGCTGTAAGAAGGGGGGCTCTGTGTGTCATAGGTAGGAGTCTATGGGAAATCTGTCTTCTGCTCATTTTGCTGTAAAAATGCTCTTTAAAAAAAAATCCAGTCTACTACAGAATAAGAATATCCAGGTGCGGTGAGGCACACCTGTAATCTGGGCACGGTGGGAGGCTGAGGCAGGAGGATTACAAATTCAGGCCCAGCTTGAATTTAGGATGAAAGTTAAGTGAAAACATCATGGCTTGGCATGAGCTATGTGCTCAACCTGTGGCTGAGATTACAAACTGGAATTACAAGGACCCAGGATACCCAGGTTCTCATTCAACACAGGGCCCCTGCTACTTTTGAGGTACCAGGGATTGAACCCAGGGCCCATTCCCAGCCCTTTTCATTTTTTATTTTGAAACAGGGTCTCACTAAGCCACTAGGAACTTTGAATCCTCCTGCCTCAGCCTCCCAGAATGATGGGATTACAAGAACCACCACGCCCTGCTCAACCTTCTTTTGAATTTTGGTTTTCTCGATAAATCAAAGAATCACTTTTGGCCTGCTCATCCCTCCAGGGCTTTAATGAAACACACAAAAATGGGGAAAAAAGATATTGACACACTTGGTAAATCACAAAATGTAACCAAGCTTAGTTCCTCTCCTATGTTAAAAGGGACAGGGACCTGTCATTGTGGGTAGGAGGGCACTGGGAAAAAGGCATTAAAGGACTAAAAGTACCATCTAAGGGACTCAAAATTTAACCAGCGTTAATAGGTTAATGCTCAGGAAAACCATGGCCATGTATTTGCTGTACAAAATGACCATCCCAGGTGTCCATACAGGCTCAAGACTTAGTGACAGAAAAGCAGCTGTAACTTGTCAAGGAAACACATAGACAGCAAGACAAGGACAAAAGGCAATCGCGGTTTGGTTTTTAAGTATTGTACTTCTAGAGAATTTATAGTGCAGGAGATAGAAAGAGAATGCACCTATGATTTATATAAAGAACATAGACTTTAAAGCCAGGCATGGTTGTGCATGCCTGTAATCCCAGCATTCCGGAGGCTGAGGCAGGAGGATCGCTGTGAGTTCGAGAACAGCCTGGGCTACACAGTGAGTTCCAGGTCAGCCTCAACTACATAGTGAGACCCGGTCCAAAAAAACAAAAAAGAACACAGAATTCTAACCAAAGAACACAGGATGCCCTATGTACAGTATGTGCCTCCGCTGTGTGCCACACAGCACACGTGTGTGCACCCACAATTCTGCCCTGACTCAACCAGTGTAGGGTGGAAAAGTCTGAGGAGAAATACAAGGGGAATGTACACTCCTCTTTTCCCTCTGCATTCTCCCCTAACCAGCACAGTTCCATACTTAGACCACATTCACACTGTCAGGCGCCGCAGACGCTGCTCACTTCATGGCCTGCCTGCCCGCCTCACGCCGTCTTTTTTGTACGGTTCCGCACATCTGGACAGGGCCTCCGTGTCCGCTCCGCACAAGGCCCGGGTACACCAAGCGGCAGCTCTGCTGAGGGTGCCGTTGGGGACAGCGCCGCAGCAGGACGCAGCTACACGGGCAGCACTGCGTGCAGGAGGCGCTCGAACGAGAGCAAAGCCTCGGAGCTGCAGCCCCTCTGCCGCCTCTCTGCACTGGACACTGCCACGCTCCTGCTCCGTGCAGCCCCTCATTTAGCGGCCACTCCTGGAACGGCCTTTTCACGGGAAGGGATTCGGTCGGCAAGCAAGGCAGGGACCTGCGCAGCACTGGAGCTGGCCGGAGGGTCCACGGCAACACCGCGCCATTCTGCACACGGGGCGCGGGCGGGCACCCAGCGTCCTGCGTCCAGGCCTTCGCAGGCACTGAGGGAGCCTGGGCAGCGTGCGCGGGTACCGTTTGGACAGGTGCACGCTGAGGTGTAAAGCCCGGCTGCTCTCAGCCACGGATCCTCGTCTGCCCTTCGGGATCAGGTACCATCTCTGCGACTTTCTTCAACTAAAGGGTCCCACTCCGGGCCCCTGCACCCCCCCAGCCCCCAGGACTCACCCTGAACGATCAGCTCCATGTCGCGGTGCCCGGAGCCTGCTGGGTTGGTGACCACACAGCTGTACGTCCCCGCGTCCTCCTGCAGCACCCGGCCAAAGTGGAGGCTGCCATCGGCCCGGACAGAGGCCCGGCCGCCTGGCGGGAGCTGGCCAGGGTGAGGAAGCACGGCTGAGCACAGCTGCCTCCCGCAGGGGTGCCCCTTCCTAGTCCAGGGGTGCAGGGACCCGAGCAGCGCAGAGAGGCCACTGGGTGTGAACCCACAAGGCGGCTGGGTGGGGACAGACCCTAAACCACGCAGGTAACATCTGCACCCCAAGCCATTAGAGCAGGGTGACGGAGCCGTTGGGTCTGGGCCACCTGCCCCAGGGGCCCGGCAGCAAGGGGCAGCAAATGCCATCAGCACGTGGTCAGAGAGCGCGGAGGAGGAGGGGAAGAGGACTTCCCAAAGCCGGGGACTGCAGAGCAGAGACAGTGGCATAGAAGTGACCGCCCCTTCGCTGAGCCTGGGTGTCACTGCCCAGAGCGGCCCGAGAATCCCAGCACTCACGGGGCGGCTGGCCCGGAGCCAGTGCCTCTCGGGGAGGGGCCTCCCAGCCAGGATGACACACGGCAGGGACACGGGCTGGCCTTCCAGGACACGCACAGAGGGTGCCCCACTGGCGACCTGCGGGGGCACTGTGGGGAGAGGACAGCGTCGGACCCAAGATTGCCCCGAGCCCCACCCCAGGGTACTGGGCAGGACCAAGGGCCCTTGGAGGTCGCTGCCCGGAAACACCAAGACTGCTCCTGAAACCTGGCCATGCACGTGTCTGTCCCTAAGGGTGTGGTGCCACGGGGCACCCAGGAGCACCTGCCTCCCACCTCCCCCACGCACGGATGCCCCAGCGAACCGAGTCCGGTGACAGCGAGCCGGGTCTGGACCTGGGCCTTCCCAAAGGCGTTCTGAGCCTCACAGACGTAGGTGGCCTGGTGCTCGGCGGTCACACCTAAGGGCCGTGATACCATGGATGACAGTGGCTTACAGGCCTGCCACGCCCAGCATGAGCCCGGAAGTGAGCGAAGCCCTGGACATGGGCCCGGTTGGCTTTAACATTAGAACCAGGTTCGCACAGCCTGAGTGGGGCACTGCCGTCCCGTCCCCCACCTGCCCCTCTTACTCTCAATGAGCAGCACTCCTGGGTCCCGCTGCCCGGGCCCGCTGCCCCGCGGGGGTCCCAGGGACTGGCCATCTCCTCGCCGCCAGGTGACCATTGGGGGCGGGTGGCC